CCCTGGAGGGCGGCGCGGCCGCCGCGGTCGCGGCAAAGAAGTCGAACATCGCGGATGCTATTTTCGGTTCGTTGGACGACATGCAGGCAGCAGGCCCAGGGGTAGGCAGATTGGGAGGAGGAGAAGAGCGCAGATCAAGTTATCTTGACCTCCTCCTCACCCCGCCTTCTTCGCACCCGCTCGCGGAGAGGGGGGCGAGGGGGGGTGCGCGAGAGCTGGATCTGCGTTGTTTTCTTCCTCCCGCAGCTTATATATATATGTGTGTATATGTACATGTGTATATATATATATACATATATATACATATACATATATACATATATATACATAAATATATGTATGTATATATGTATGTATATTATATATATATCGCACGCGTATATGGGCTTGGCGCCCTTAATTTGGGGCCAGGCGCTGGCTGGGGAGGACAGCGCCTTCTGCTCCAAACGGCCTCGTTGCTTCCTCCGCGTCCTCGCGCGAAGGCTGGGCGACCGCGATGACACGCCTGGCTCGGCAGGTCGTAGGCTCGCCGCTTTAACTCGGTGTGTGGCGCTGGCTGGGGACCCGGGGCTGTCTGCCGCAAGAGGCGCAGCGGCTTCGTCGACCACTGCTGGCGCCTTTATTCGGTGTGTGGCACTTGCTGCGGACACAGGGCTGTCTGCCGCAAGAGGCGCAGCGGCTACGTCGACCACAGCTGGCCGCCTTAATTCGGCGTGTGGCGCGGGCTGAGGACACAGGGCTGTCTGTTGCGAGAGGCGCTGCGGCTTCGTCGACCACTGCTTGCCGCCTTCATCGGTGTCTGGGACAGGCTGGGGACGCAGGGCTGTCTGCTGCAAGAGGCGCAGCGGCTTCGCCGACCACAGCCTACCACTTTCTCGCACGTCGATCTACGATGGCGCGCGCGGTGTCCGCTGTCATGCCGTCTGTTCTTGTCACGGCCCCGCTCCTTCCGGCCTTCGCAGACATCCGGTGTCTTGAAAAATAGTTAACAATTTAGCTTGGCGAAGGACCCAACCGTACGCAGCTGCTTGCACCGAATTGTGGGTACCACTTTCCGTGGAGCTCCCTATGAGGCCACGAACCGCGTGGAAGGTTGGCCAAAATGGGCGGCGGTGCCATGCGAACCCTGCCACTGGGGCCTTGGGTGGAATTCCTTATGGGGCCACGAACCGCGTGAGGGGTGTGCCGGAATTGGCGCGCGGCGGGCGGGGAGGGCGCATGTGAACTGTGCCACTGTGGCCTCGGGTGGAACTCCCTATGGGGCCGCGAACCGTGTGAGGGGTGTGCGGAAATGGGCACGCGGTGGGCGGGGTGGGCGCATGTGAACGCGGCCACTGATGCGGTGGGCGGGGTGAATGCCGAAATGGGCATGCGGTGGGCGGGGTGGGCGCATGTGAACGCGGCCACTGGTGCCTTGGGTGGAGCTCCCTATGGGGCCACGAACCGTGTGAGGGGTGTGCCGAAATGGGCGTGCGGTGGGCTGGGTGGACGCATGTGAACGCGGCCACTGGTGCCCTGGACCGCCACCGGGGCGCGCCTCGCGGCGCGGCGCGGATTTGCCCGCTCCCCCGCCAATGGATTTCTTCGAGGTTTCGGGGGGGCGCTCCAGAGTTTTTTCCTGCCCGTTCAGTCACTTGGCGGTGTCTCCGCGAGAAGCCCGAAGTGCCTTTCGGCGGCCAGGAGACAAACCGCCCCCGTGGTCGTTCATTTTTCGCCCCCCGGCACTATGAGTTCTGCGCGAGCGCGACGCGGGATCCGCGCGGGGCGAATCGCACGCGTGGCGCCACTAAACAGCACTAGTTCGCACCAATTCGACGTTAATTTGGGATGTCATGTTTCAACAAGGCTACCATGAGTGCGCACATAACGCTAGGGCCACCGCCGGACGGACGGACGGACGTGGAATAATCATTTGTCTTGACTTCGCCCTAGCAGCGGCGGACACCACGGGACACCGCGGGACACCACGGGACACCTGTCGATTTCATTGTCGATCTCACTTTTTGGGGCACCGCGGGACCACGGGACACCACATCGATCCCAGTATCTATCTCACTATCGATCTTACTCAACGGGACACCACCGGTCAGCACGGGATATCTGTCAATCTCACTGTCGATTTCACTATCGATCTCACTTTTTGGGTCACCACGGGACACTTCGGGACACCAATTCGATCTCACGATCGATCTCACCATCGATCTCACTGTCGATCTCACTCAACGGGACGCCACGAGACACCACGGGACACCACGGGACACCTGTCGATCTCACGATCGATCTCACTTTTTGGGACACCACGGGACACCACATCGATCTCAGTATCTACCTCACTATCGATCTTACTTGACGGGACACCACGGGACACCTGTCAATCTCACTGTCGATCTCACTATCGATCTCACTTTTTGGGTCACCACGGGACACCTCGTGGCACCACATCGATCTCAGTATCGATCTCAGCATCGATCTCTTTATCGATCTCACTGTCGATTTCACTCAATTGGACACACCGGGACGCCACGGAACACCGCGGGACACCGCGAGCCACAGCCGGACGGACGGACGGACGGGGGAGAATCATTTGTTTTGCCTTCGCCCTAGCAACGGCGGACACTACGGGACACCACGGAACAAGGCGGTACACCGCTAGGGCCACCGCCGGACGGACGGACGGACGGGGGATAATCATTTGTCTTGACTTCGCCCTAGCAGCGGAGGACACCACGGGACACCGCGGCACACCTCGAGCCACCGCCGGACGGACGGACAGACTGGGGAGAATCATTTGTCTTGATTTCGCCCTAGGCACGGCGGACACCACGGGACACCACGGGACACCGTGGGACAGTGCTAGGGCCACCGCCGGGCGGACGGACGGACGGACGGGGGAAAATCATTTGTTGCGACATCGCCGTGGCAACGGCGGACACCATGGAACACCGCAGGACACCGCTAGGGCCACCGCTGGACGGATGGACGAACGGCGGATAATCATCTGTTTTGATTTCGCCTAGCAGCGGCGGGTTCATTCCTCTCGCGCGCCCACGCAGCTTCGCCTCGCCCGCACGCACGAAACGAACGAAACGAAACGATTTCCCGGTTGGGGGTCTTCGTTCCACTGCGATCTCGCCCCCCAACCTCCAAGTAGTTGTAATACCTATACGACCGCCCTGCGGGGGCGATGAGGAGGTTGGGGGGGGGGATTGAGATCAAATGCCCACCCTGACTGACATCCAGCCTGTCACCTTGATCTCATCTCTCTCTTTCTCGCGCCCAGGCGTTGACAAAAATGAATTGATGGATTGGGTTGGGTGGATTGTATTGGATGGGTAAGATGGATTGGATATGATAAGATGGGTTGGATTGGAAGAGATGGATTGGATACGATAAGATGGATTGGACTGGCCCGCCGCAGGCGCAGAAACAAATGAATTGATGGATTGGATTGGATGGATTGGATTGGGTGGGATAAGATAAGATGGGGCAATATGGGTTGGATAAGATAAGATGTGTTGGATTGGACAAGATCGATTGGATAAGATACACTGGATTGGATAAGAAAGCCCGACCGGGGACACCTGGGACACCGCCCGGCCCAAGTGGGACACCTCCCAGCCACCGGCGGACGGGAACGATTTTTCGCTCCTCGTTCGGCCTAGCTACAGGAGGATCACGCGAAACTTCGCCCCGCCCGCACGCACGACACGAACACGAAACCGAAACCGATTTCCTGGCGGGGGTCTCCTTTTCATTGCGATCTCACCCCCCAACCTCCGATTAGTACACATACTAGTATTATCAATGGTGCTCATAATACGATGATATATACAATACGGATAGTAATTCTGATACCGCTGATAATCTTAGTATTACTACTACGAATAATCATATTCCTACGAATAGCACAACTAATGTTTTTAGCCATTCTACTGATAGTAACACGAAACATCATAATGATTATGATGATAATAATAATAAATAATAATAATCATAATATTATTAATGATACTACTACTACTACTAATAATAATAATACTAATAGTAGTAATAATAATAGTAATAATAGTAGTAATAATAATAATACTAATAACAATAACAATAATAATATAGTAAGCAACATAACGATTCGATTAAGAAGAAGACGGATAATGACACTGATACTGTGAAAAGAAACAGGAGGAGGAGAAGCGGGAGGAGGAGGAGGAGGAGGAAGGGGGAGGGAGGAGGAGGAGGAAGAGGAGGAAGAGGAGGAGGAGGAAGAGGAGGAGGAGGAGGAAGAGGAGGAGGAGGAGGAGGACGGCGAGGACGGCGAATAGTATAACGAGGATGGAAGACGAGCAAGAGATTAGATGATAGTATGGTGGGAGTGGCGATCGCTATGATGAGAAGGAAGAGGAGGGGGGGAAGGGAGGATACGGAGGAGGAAGGAAGGAGGAACAGAAGGACGAGGAGGAAGAGGAGGAGGAGTAGGAGGAAGAGGATGGCGAGTTGTATAACGAGGATGCAAGACGGGCAAGAGATGAGATGATGAAATAGTGGAAGTGGCGATAGTTATGATGACCAGGAAGAGGAGGGATGGAAGGGAGGAGAAGGAGGAAGGAAGGAGGAGCAGAAGGAGGAGGAGGAGGAGGAAAAGGAGAAAGGGGGAGGATGGAGCAATAGGCTTGCAGATCAGAAAGAGTCAGGATCTACAAGGCTGTGAGAGACAGGAGAAGGAGAGGATGAGGAGGAGAAGGAGGGGGAGAAGGAGGAGGAGGAGGAGGAGCAGGGCGAGGGGGGGAGGTGACTCAGTTGGCACACTCGGGGAGACCTCCATACTTTCATGTAAGGGGTGTGGCGGGAAGTGGGATGTTCATGGGTGAGCAAGTTTTTAGGTGGAAGTCCATTTGCGCATGGAGCAGGGACAGGAGACCTCGCCATACACACAATTTCAGGTGTAGCCTGCTGGGTCCGCTTCTCCGCCCCCGATGCTCCTCACCATCACGCTCCGCTGTCTCCTCGTCCTTCTTGTTCTCCCAATCCTCTGCCTGCTCCCGCTTCGTCCCCCCATCGACTCCACTTCCCCACCAGTTCATTCCTCCTGCAGCAGCAGCTGTTTGTGCTCAAGCCGCTTGCGCCCCAGCCTGCCGTATCAGCGAGCAGTCGCCATGGCGCTCAAGTCGAAGACGCTCCCGGTGCTCGTCCTGGCCGCGCTGTGCCTCTTCGCCCTGCGCGGGCTCGCGTTCGTGGCGCCCTCTGGCGGCATGGCGGCGCGCGCCGGCCCGGGCGCCCTCGCCGCGGGCGCCGCCCCGACGGTCGCGAGTAGCTCGGAGGGCGGCCTGGTGGCGATGCAGGCCCGGGGCGGCGCGGAGGGGCTGGAGGTGGAGGACCCGCAGCTGTACATCGTCGTGATGTGCGTGCTCTTCGGTGCCTCCGTCCTGGCCAACTCCAACGGCTTCTTCGGCCCCTGGTGAGCACGCGCCGGGAGGGGCATGCCGGCGGCGGACAGATTTAGTTTTCCCTCTCCTAGCATTTGCTTGGAGGGGCGCGCCCCAGCTGTAAAGATTTGGAGGCTCCCGCTCTCGCGCATTTAGGTCTGAATTTATCAGGAGCTATCAAGTCGAAGGGGCTCCGATCTCACGACAGCTTCGGGCTCACACTTCCTGCTCCGTCGGAGCCAAGGAGACTCGAGGATGAAGAGGGGGGAGGCAGGGAGCAGGAAGGAGGATGAGGAAGGATGAGGAACGGATAAGACGTCGAAGGGAGGAACACGAATCTGAGGACGGGATGCGTTCAAGAGACGGGCTGAGATGATGATGATGATGCTGCTGCTGCTGCTGATGCTGATGCTGATGCTGATGCTGATGCTGATGATGCTGATGCTGATGCTGATGCTGATGCTGATGCTGATGGTGATGATGATGCTGCTGACGATGATGGTGGTTGTAATGGTGATGATAATGCTGATGATGATGATCATGATGATGGTGCTGATGATGGTGATGATGATGCTGATGATGATGCTGAACATGGCGATGGTGGTTACGATGATCATGACGATGGTGCTACTGATGTTGCTGTTGTTGATGATGCTGATGGTGGTGATGGTTGTGGTAGTATGGTGATGATGATGGCGATGTGATGATGATGATGATGATGATGAGGATGATGATGATGATGCTGATGATGATGGTGATGATGGTGGACATGATTATGCTGATGATGCTGCTGGTGATGATGATGCTGATGATGATGACGATGGTGGTGATGAAGATGATGAAGAAGAATATTATGATGATGATGTATCGGGAGGGGAGGGGAGGGAGGGGAGAGAGTGAGGATGATGATGAAGAGTAAGTATCATAATATGGAGAAGAGGAGGAAGATGAGGAGGAGGTGGAGGAGGAAGAGGGAAGAGACTCGAAGAGGATGAGACGGATGGAGGAATAGCCAGAAGGACGAGGAAGGATGGAAGAGGATAAGGATAAGGACATATCCAGAAGCTTATGCGGGACAGGAGGGGGAGGGGAGGGCGAGGAGATCCAGGGAGAGTTCACTCGGGTGGGCCACTCCGGAAGGTCTGCTTACATGGAAGGGATGTGTGTGTGGAAGCGGGTGAAGAAGTTCAGGGGGGAGTCCGGTATAGTGTACGGAGCAGGAACAGGGCACGCCGCTTCTCCGCCCCTGATGCTCCGTCGTTTCCTGCTCCTCCTCCTCTTCCTCGTCCTCCTCGTCCTCCTCCTCGTCCTCCTCCTCGTCCTCCTCCTAGTCCTTCTCCTCGTCCTCCTCCTCGTCCTCCTCCTCGTCCTCCTTGTTCTCCCAATGCTCCGCCTCCGCCCGCTTCCTCCCCTCGCGTCTCCTCCTCTTCCCCCCCAGCCCATCCCTGCTCCTGTCAACAGCAGCTGTTGGTGCTCAAGCCGCTTTCGCCCCAGCCTGCCGCATCAGCGAGCAATCGCCATGGCGCTCAAGTCGAAGACGCTCCCGGTGCTCGTCCTGGCCGCGCTGTGCCTCTTCGCCCTGCGCGGGCTCGCGTTCGTGGCGCCCTCTGGCGGCATGGCGGCGCGCGCCGGCCCGGGCGCCCTCGCCGCGGGCGCCGCCCCGACGGTCGCGAGCAGCTCGGAGGGCGGCCTGGTGGCGATGCAGGCCCGGGGCGGCGCGGAGGGGCTGGAGGTGGAGGACCCGCAGCTGTACATCGTCGTGATGTGCGTGCTCTTCGGTGCCTCTGTCCTGGCCAACTCCAACGGCTTCTTCGGCCCCTGGTGAGCACGCGCCGGGAGGGGCATGCCGGCGGCGGATAGATTTAGTTTTCCCTCTCCTGGCATTTGCCTGGAGGGGCGCGCCCCAGCTGTAAAGATTGGGAGGCTCCCGCTCTCGCGCGTCGAGATCCGTACTCTCTGGATCCATCGCTGCCCCCAAAACGAAGGGGCTCCGATCTCACGCCGGCTTCGGGCTGCCTTACAGTTCTTGCACCATGAGGGGTCGGGGTGAATCGAGGAGGAAGGGGCGAGGGAGGGAGGGAGCAGGAGGGAGGAGGGATGAGGACGGAGGAGGAGGAGGGAGGAGTGAGGAGCGGAAAAGGAGAAGGCGACGACGTGGAGGACGAGGACGAGGAGGAGGAGGACGACGAGGAGAAGGAGGAGGAGGACGAGGAGGAGGAGGAGGAGGAGGAGGAGGAGGAGGACGGCGAGTAGTAGAACGAGGATGGAAGACGGGCAATGTATGATATGATGCTATGATGGGAGTGGCGATAGTGGCGATGAGAGGGACAAGGAGGGAGGGAAGGGGAGGAGAAGTAGGAGAAGGAGGAGGAGGGAAGGAGGAGCATAAGGAGGAGGATGAAGAGGACAAGGGCGGAAGGACGGAGCAATAGGCTTGAAGGAAGGGTGAGGATGTAAGGTTTGGAGAGACAGGAAAAAGAGAAGAGGGGGAGGTAACTTAGATGGCCGACTCGGGAAGGTCTCCATATTTACATGTAAGGGGTGTGGGGGGGAAGTGGGAGGCTGATGGGGGAGGCAGTCTTTAGGAGAAAGTCTAGTTTCGCACGGAGCAGGGACAGGACACCTCGCCACACACAGACAGAGACAGAGAGACAGCCAGAGAGACAGACAGACAGACAGACAGACAGATAGACAGACAGACAGACAGACAGACACAGAAACAGACAGAGACAGAGACAGAGACAGAGACAGAGACAGACAGTCAGGCAGGCAGGCAGACAGACAGACAGACACACACACAACACAAAACACACACACACACGCACACACACACACACCACACACACACAAAACACACCACACACAAAACACCACACTCAATTGCACATGCAGCTTACCGTGTCCGCTTCTCCGCCCCCGATGCTCCTCACCATCCTGCTCCGCGGCCTCCTCGTCCTCATCCTCCCAATCCTCCGCCTCCGCCCGCTTCGCCCCCCCCTCCCCCAATCGCCTCCTCTTCCCCACCAGTGTCCTCCCGCAGCAGCAGAAGCAGCTGTTTGTGCTCAAGCCGCTTGCGCCCCAGCCTGCCGTATCAGCGAGCAGTTGCCATGGCGCTCAAGTCGAAGACGCTCCCGGTGCTCGTCCTGGCCGCGCTGTGCCTCTTCGCCCTGCGCGGGCTCGCGTTCGTGGCGCCCTCTGGCGGCATGGCGGCGCGCGCCGGCCCGGGCGCCCTCGCCGCGGGCGCCGCCCCGACGGTCGCGAGCAGCTCGGAGGGCGGCCTGGTGGCGATGCAGGCCCGGGGCGGCGCGGAGGGGCTGGAGGTGGAGGACCCGCAGCTGTACATCGTCGTGATGTGCGTGCTCTTCGGTGCCTCCGTCCTGGCCAACTCCAACGGCTTCTTCGGCCCCTGGTGAGCACGCGCAGGGAGGGGCATGCCGGCGGCGGACAGATTTAGTTTTCCCTCTCCTGGCATTTGCCTGGAGGGGCGCGCCCCAGCTGTAAAGATTGGGAGGCTCCCGCTCTCGCGCGTCGAGATCCGTACTCTCTGGATCCATCGCTGCCCCCCAAACCAAGGGGCTCCGATCTCACGCCGGCTTCGGGCTGCCTCACAGTTCTTGCACCATGGGGGGTCGGGGTGAATCGAGAAGGAAGGGGGGGCGGGAGGGAGGGAGCAGGAGGGAGGAGGGATGAGGACGGAGGAGGAGGAGGGAGGAGTGAGGAGCGGAAAGGAGAAGGCGACGACGTGGAGGACGAGGGCGAGGAGGAGGAGGAGGAGGAGGAGGAGGCGGACGACAAGGGAGGATGAGGACGGCGAGTAGTAGAACGAGGATGGAAGACGGGCAATGTATGATATGATGCTATGATGGGAGTGGCGATAGTGGTGATGAGAGGGACGAGGAAGGAGGAAAGGGTTGGAGAAGTAGGAGAAGGATGAGGATGGAAGGAGGAGGGAAGGAGGAGCAGAATGAAGAATGTGAAGATAAGAAGGGCGGAAGGACGGAGCAATAGGCTTGAAGGAAGAGGGAGGATGTAAGATGAGAAAGCGGAGCAAGGATCTATAAGGTTCGGAGAGACAGGAGAAAGAGAGGAGGAGGAGGAGGAGGAGGAGGAGGAAGAGGGGGAGGTAACTTAGATGGCCGACTCGGGAAGGTCTCCATACTTACATGTAAGGGATGTGGGGGGAAATGGGAAGCTCATAGGGGGAGGAAGTCTTTAGCAGGGACAGGACACCTCGCCACACACAGACAGACAGAGAGACAGACAGACAGACAGACAGACAGACAGACAGACAGACAGACAGACAGACAGACAGAGACAGACAGACAGACAGACAGACAGACAGACAGACAGACAGACAGACACACGGACACACAGAGACAGACAGACAGAGACAGACAGACAGACAGGCAGACAGACAGAGACACACAGAGACAGACAAAAACAGACAGAGAGAGACAGACGGACAGACGGACAGACAGACAGACAGAGACAGAGACAGAGACAGAGACAGAGACAGAGACAGAGACAGAGACAGAGACAGAGACAGAGACAGACAGAGACAGAGACAGAGACAGAGACAGAGACAGAGGCAGAGACAGAGACAGAGACAGACAGACAGACACGCTCACACACAAAGCAGAACAAACAACACCCAACACACGACACACGACACAATACACACACACACACCTACCACACAAAACACCACACACAATTGCACGTGCAGCTTGCCGTGTCCGCTTCTCCGCCCCCGATGCTCCTCACAATCCTGCTCCGCGGCCACCTCGTCCTCATCCTCCCAATCCCCCGCCTCCGCCCGCTTCGGCCCCCCCAATCGCTTCCTCTTCCCCACCAGTGTCCTCCCGCAGCAGCAGAAGCAGCTGTTTGTGCTCAAGCCGCTTGCGCCCCAGCCTGCCGCATCAGCGAGCAGTCGCCATGGCGCTCAAGTCGAAGACGCTCCCGGTGCTCGTCCTGGCCGCGCTGTGCCTCTTCGCCCTGCGCGGGCTCGCGTTCGTGGCGCCCTCTGGCGGCATGGCGGCGCGCGCCGGCCCGGGCGCCCTCGCCGCGGGCGCCGCCCCGACGGTCGCGAGCAGCTCGGAGGGCGGCCTGGTGGCGATGCAGGCCCGGGGCGGCGCGGAGGGGCTGGAGGTGGAGGACCCGCAGCTGTACATCGTCGTGATGTGCGTGCTCTTCGGTGCCTCCGTCCTGGCCAACTCCAACGGCTTCTTCGGCCCCTGGTGAGCACGCGCCGGGAGGGGCATGCCGGCGGCGGACAGATTTAGTTTTCCCTCTCCTGGCATTTGCCTGGAGGGGCGCGCCCCAGCTGTAAAGATTGGGAGGCTCCCGCTCTCGCGCGTCGAGATCCGTACTCTCTGGATCCATCGCTGCCCCCAAAACCAAGGGGCTCCGATCTCATGCTGGCTTCGGGCTGCCTCACAGTTCTTGCACCATGGGGGGCCGGGGTGAATCGAGGAGGAAGGGGGGAGGGAGGGAGGGAGCAGGAGGGAGGAGGGATGAGGACGGAGGAGGAGGAGGGAGGAGTGAGGAGCGGAAAGGAGAAGGCGACGACGTGGAGGACGAGGGCGAGGAGGAGGAGGAGGAGGAGGCGGCGGACGACAAGGGAGGAGGAGGACGGCGAGTAGTAGAACGAGGATGGAAGACGGGCAATGTATGATATGATGCTATGATGGGAGTGGCGATAGTGGGGATGAGAGGGACGAGGAAGGAGGAAAGGGGTGGAGAAGTAGAATAAGGAGGAGGAGGGAAGGAGGAGGGAAGGAGGAGCAGAATGAAGAATATGAAGATAAGAAGGGCGGAAGGACGGAGCAATAGGCTTGAAGGAAGAGGGAGGATGTAAGATGAGAAAGCGGAGCCAGGATCTATAAGGTTCGGAGAGACAGGAGAAAGAGAGGAGGAGGAGGAGGAGGAGGAGGAGGAAGAGGGGGAGGTAACTTAGATGGCCGACTCGGGAAGGTCTCCATACTTACATGTAAGGGATGTGGGGGGAAATGGGAAGCTCATAGGGGGAGGAAGTCTTTAGCAGGGACAGGACACCTCGCCACACACAGACAGACAGAGAGACAGACAGACAGACAGACAGACAGACAGACAGACAGACAGACAGACAGACAGAGACAGACAGACAGACAGACAGACAGACAGACAGACACACGGACACACAGAGACAGACAGGCAGACAGACAAACAGAGACAGACAGACAGAGACAGACAGACAGACAGGCAGACAGACAGAGACACACAGAGACAGACAAAAACAGACAGAGAGAGACAGACGGACAGACGGACAGACAGACAGACAGAGACAGAGACAGAGACAGAGACAGAGACAGAGACAGAGACAGAGACAGACAGAGACAGAGACAGAGACAGAGACAGAGACAGAGACAGAGACAGAGACAGAGACAGAGACAGACAGGCAGACAGACACGCGCACACACACAAAGCACAACAAACAACACCCAACACACGACACACGACACAATACACACCACACACACACCTACCTACCACACAAAACACCACACACACAATTGCACGTGCAGCTTACCGTGTCCGCTTCTCCGCCCCCGATGCTCCTCACCATCCTGTTCCGAGGCCTCCTCGTCCTCATCCTCCCAATCCCCCGCCTCCGCCCGCTTCGCCCCCCCCATCGCCTCCTCTTCCCCACCAGTGTCCTCCCGCAGCAGCAGAAACAGCTGTTTGTGCTCAAGCCGCTTTCGCCCCAGCCTGCCGCATCAGCGAGCAATCGCCATGGCGCTCAAGTCGAAGACGCTCCCGGTGCTCGTCCTGGCCGCGCTGTGCCTCTTCGCCCTGCGCGGGCTCGCGTTCGTGGCGCCCTCTGGCGGCATGGCGGCGCGCGCCGGCCCGGGCGCCCTCGCCGCGGGCGCCGCCCCGACGGTCGCGAGCAGCTCTGAGGGCGGCCTGGTGGCGATGCAGGCCCGGGGCGGCGCGGAGGGGCTGGAGGTGGAGGACCCGCAGCTGTACATCGTCGTGATGTGCGTGCTCTTCGGTGCCTCCGTCCTGGCCAACTCCAACGGCTTCTTCGGCCCCTGGTGAGCACGCGCCGGGAGGGGCATGCCGGCGGCGGATAGATTTAGTTTTCCCTCTCCTGGCATTTGCCTGGAGGGGCGCGCCCCAGCTGTAAAGATTGGGAGGCTTCCGCTCTCGCGCGTCGAGATCCGTACTCTCTGGATCCATCGCTGCCCCCAAAACGAAGGGGCTCCGATCTCACGCTGGCTTCGGGCTGCCTCACAGTTCTTGCACCATGAGGGGTCGGGGTGAATCGA